CTCACTAGATATTTTATAACATAATACTGTCTTGTTTCGAAAAAAAATATTACGATTAAATATTTATTCCTCAATATTCTGGATTTGGAATGAATGGCGTGGTGGCCTAGTGATGAACATGCTGGCCTCCCATTCAAAAGGTTGAGAGTTCAATCCTAGGTAGCAACAGATGTTTCTGTCTTAAGGCACAGAAAAAAAGTATCTGCTGCAAACTCCATGTAGGCATCAGGAAGGGCATCTGGCCAGTAAATGCTCAGCTCCATTCAGTTGCTCCAACTTTACCCTGAATTAAGGGACTATAGGGTCATAAAAAGAAAAAAAAAGCCTGGACTCGGAGTAGGGTTGAGGGTTTTTTTTTTTTGTTGTTGCATTCAAGTCGGCATTGACTCCTAATGACTGCCTGGACAAGTCCCTGCAGTTTTCTTGGCAAGATTTTCAGAAGTGGTTTGCCACCTCCTACTTTTTGGGGGCTCAGAGGAAGTAACTGACTGCTGGCTTCATGCCTAAGGTGGGAGTAGAATTTATCATCTTCCTAGCCTGATGCCTTTAACCACTACACCAAACTAGTTCTCTGGAATAGTTTTAAGAAAAATCATTTTATATTTCAATAAAATCTACTATTGCAAGATTGGATTAACAGTCAAATGTTTTGTAGGACTGATTCAGAATGTGTTTGGATTACTATTTTTGTTAGATCATTAGATAGATTGAATCTACTATAATTAGAAAAAATACATTTTCCTATATCGTTTTCATGTATCTTAATATCTTAGTGATATTTTCTTGCTTCAGCAACTTATCTGGAGCCATTTCAGTAGAATTCTTTGTAGCTCAGATGACTTATAGAATTGGTAGGCATCTTGGAGGTCTTTTAGTCCAATGCTGTGCCCAGGACAAGAATTTTCATACCATCCTAGAAAAATGTTGGTCCAACCTTTGCTTGAAAACCTCCTATGACGGAGCCTCCAAAATTCCAGAGGAAGTGTTTAATAACTGCCTGAGTCAGGACATTCATCCTTATTTTGAGTTTGTATCTGTGCAAAGCTTCAACCCATTGTTTTTCATCCTATCCTTGGGAGCCAAAGAAATAAATGCATATTCTCTTCCTTGTGACAGCCCTTGAAGTATTGGAAGACTTGAAATTTGAAAAACATTTGAAATCTGTTTAAAGCTAAACTTGAATTTACAGATCTCTTTTTAAAAATTTATCTAAGGTGATCTTCTAAATATTATCATTCTTACCTGTACCTTGCTATATTTTGAAAAATGGTTTAAGTACCCTTTGCAGAGAGATGGTAGATGAGAGATGAGAGATCATCTATGCTGTGAAACAGAATGATTTCATTTGGAACAGGGATGTGCAGCCTTTTTTGAAGTGTAATTAGCCTTTGAATTGTATGCTTTGGCCTGCACTCTCAAAAATGGGTGGAGTTGGACAAAAATGTATCTGATTTAATGAAATAAAAGTAAAATACTGTATAGTTTATGTCATCGTTCCACATTCATGTAAAATATTTTCCACCCAGCCACATTAAAATTACAGTTGTAAGCAATATGTGAAAGTATTTTGAAGCTACACATGGCCCTTCGACCTTAGATTAAGATTTAAAATACAGAAACTTAAATATTTCATTCAATTGTTTGTTTTGGTAATAGTCTCTGGAACAAGTTTTTAATATTCACATATATATGTAGTGCACACAATAAGATTAAATAACTAGTAGAGTATTTTAGCAATTTAAGAACAGAGCATCAGAGCTTTAGCAAAAAAAGAAAAAAATGAAATGCATGTCTTGTAGCTGATCAAATACTAAATCCTTCATCATGGAGGTAAAAAAAGAATGATCTCTAGGTAGAAATAAAAATACCTATCATTTCAGCCTCCACCAAAGTTGATAATTGCTATCTTATACCTGGACTGAAGTACAATAAAACAGTTTTAACAGCCTGATGCTTCAATTGAAAATAAATTGTTTCTGATAAGTAAGATTAGTGAACCTCATTGTTCATTCGTTCAGCCCTTTTTTATTCTTTGCAGCATGAAGGACCTAATGTCAGGATTCTCTTCCAATAACTTTTGCGAATTCTTACAACCTTGTGCTTTTGTAACCAGGGATAATATCTAGCCACTTTGTCGTCTTTCAGTTTCTTTTTCAGTCTTTTCCAATGACTCTTGCTGCCACATTACATGTCCAGAATATTTTTGTTTCAGTGTTACTGCTGTCTGCAGTAGTTTTACTTCATCTGGTTGGTTCTTATGGTTCAAATATTCTCAGCAAGTTTTTTCCAGCGCCACAGCACAAAAGCATCTGTTTAGTTCTGTTCAGTGATGTTGCTGCAAATTGTTTTAGCATTGGCTTCAGTGAGGAATATTAAATGATTTAGGGATATTTATGATGAAAATCATATAGGTGATACATTTTAAGATTTTCCTCTGTGAAATAGGAACCGGGAAGAACAGAATCTGGTAGCTTACCCTCATGATGGGAAGATTTACTTCTGCACTTCCCGCGACATCTCTCCAGACCAGGAGCTCCTTTTCTACTATAGTCGTGACTATGCCCAGCAGATTGGTAAGCAGTTATTCTCTTTCTTCATATTTCAACAAAATACAAAGACTGAAGCTTATGTCTTTTAAATTTAAAATGCATTTTCTTACCTTCCTATTTATTTTGCGGGGTCATACTTTCTGCTGCATCATAAACAATTCTCTCTCTAAAAGGTGTTCCTGAGCATCCTGATGTGCACACTTGTCACTGTGGAAAAGAATGTGCCTCCTATGCAGAGTTTAAGGTCCATCTGAGTAGTCATCTCCACAGCCACTTCCCCAGTCAGGGACACAGCAGTACCCATGGATCAGGACACAGTAAGGAAAGGAAATGGAAATGCTCCATGTGCCCTCAAGCTTTTATATCACCTTCTAAGCTTCATGTTCACTTCATGGGGCATATAGGTATGAAGCCACACAAGTGTGATTTCTGTAGCAAGGCATTCAGCGATCCCAGCAATCTGCGTACCCATCTTAAAATTCATACAGGTAAGTGAGGAAGAATATTTCAAGTTTTTTCCAAACAAGTATTTGGAACTGATTGAACTATTTTTTCACAGTGAAGACTGGTCTTGTTTTGTTCCTTCTTAGAATAAGGCCTTATTTGCATATGTATGACATACACTTTTTTAAGAAACCAATTCGATTTTGATTTTGGATGTGAGCTCCCAAATTTTTAAGTGACTTTTTCACTAGGAAACTATTTTTCTTTTGCCCTTTTGCTGGAGTTGAAGAAGCATGCCAGCTGGTCTTTGCATGTGCTCGAGCGCCGGAAACCTGAAGACCAGCTGGCCAGCACACGCATGCACACCGGCTAGCTGGTCTTCAGGTTTCCGGCACTCCAGTCCACTTGCGTTCCAGTTTGCTGAAAAGGTTCGCCATCACTGGTATAGATTCTTTAGTAATTTTAGAAAAGCAACTTGGGAAATCTTTGGAGAATTGGAGAGTTATGTGGAATTTCTTGTCTATAGCAGAACATAAGATTCATGCATACTCCATGCTATTAGTTACTTGCAGCACTAAAATCTATTGTATAGCCCTACTGTAGTATCAAACATGTTGATAGCTTGGAATTTCAATCTATATTTACTGTTCTGTGGATGGGATGGGATGGGATAAAATGATCTTATGTAAATCTTTATGTCTATTTTCAGGTCAGAAAAACTATCGCTGTGCACTCTGTGAAAAATCTTTTACTCAGAAGGCACACCTAGAGACACACATGGTTATCCACACTGGAGAAAAAAATCTGAAATGTGACTATTGTGATAAACTATTTATGCGGCGCCAAGATCTCAAGCAGCATGTGCTCACCCATACACAGTGAGTCATTCAGGAGAAATTCCAAACTATTTGTGTTTCTTTGTGTGTTTAATTTATTGCCTACAAACTAAAGAGGTCCATATTTAAAAGACTCATGATAGTGATAGGACAGTTCTCAGAAGAAACCCAGATTTATCAGAAGAAAAATATATTATAGTGAATAGTGTCAAGATGCTGATAAGCTGGTATTTAATTCTTTATCAAAAAAGCATCTGAGGCCTAACCCATGATGAGTGGTAGAGATCAATATTGACAACTGCATATATAAGATTTGTTATTTGGAACAGAAGATAGGAATTCTTCCAGGATGAAATTCTAAGTATGTGATGTTGAACAGAGCACCTCTAGATTATTTCCTACTGAATGTTGATTGTGCAGATGATGGCAAAGCCTTATGCATACAAAAGTGTGATTTTCTGTATGCTAAATGGGAAATTTAAGATTAGAACTGTGAAATCTGTCTCACAAGCCTTCAAATTCCAAAGAACTCTCAAATATAAAAAATTGTTTTCATGTTTTCATGACTAAAATGCTATCTCTTTTCTCCATACCCATTCCTGTTTAGAGAACGTCAAATCAAATGTCCACAATGTGAGAAGCTATTCTTAAGGACAAATCACCTAAAGAAACATTTAAACTCTCATGAAGGAAAAAGGGATTATGTGTGTGAAAAGTGTTCCAAGGCTTATTTAACAAAATACCACCTTACTCGCCATCTAAAAATTTGTAAAGGACCAACCTCTAGTCTCTCAGCCCAAGAAGAGGAGGAGGAGGATTCTTCAGAAGAAGAAGAATTGATAAATTCTACAACAAATGAAAATTGCCAACTCAGAACCACCATGTATGTGACAGCTGATACACTGTCTTGACGCAAATAAGACAATTCCTAAAATTGTTTAAACTTACACTCAGTGGCCAAATTCTCATCTATAATGAAAATGGCTTATCTGTTTTCAGAGAGATTACCAGGAACATTAAAACAATATAATTACCATGTTAATCTATTAAAATGGTATCATTGATGATGGTTGATGCATGATGGATACAGCTAAAATAGCACCAGATGTCTCTGTTAAAGATATGCTTAATGTGAAGGTATGCACAAACCAAATTTTTTTCATGACAGTAAAGTGTTTTTTAATTGGAAATAAGTTTGTAGCTTAACTTAGTTCATTAAATTGATATTTGTTGTACATCAATGAATTATTTGCTCATTTGTTGACAACTGAGCATTTCCAGAGAATTAGAAAACAAAAATATAGTATGGGAATCAGAGTAAGGCATGCTAATGCTTGTGTTTGAAATGCAAGCTTAATTTTAGCATGAATTTTACAAGGTTATTCATGTAACTTTGTCTATACTGTAACCGATAACCACTTATTTTGAAAGGGAAATTCTGCTGCTAATATATTTATGGAATGAAGGTATCATTAAGATTTGTTTTCTTACAGAAAATTAAAATACTGCTTTTTAATCTGTGTACTGTTTTTTCTTCCTTTGAGTTTTTCCCCAGTATGTAGAAATTGCTTTTTCACCATAACTTTTCTTTATTAAACAATTTGTTTATCTATACATTATGATCTTCAGCCAATATTAACTATGCTGACATTGATAGTTCTCCTAGGTAAAAGTATATCTAAATTAATGGTCTGAATCATATAGTAATTAAGGCATCAGAAACTGGGAGACCATGAATTCGAGTCCCGCTTTGGGCACCAAGCTAGGTGGGTGACCTTGAGCCAGTCACTTTCTCTGAGCCCTAGGAAGGAGACAATGGCAAACTACTTCTGACAAACCAGGCACTCTCCAAGAATTGAATACAAATGTGGAGGGGGGAGAGGAGAGAAAAACCCAATATTGTTAATCTTAGCTATTTTATCTATGCCAGATTAGATTTTATTAATTAGCATATGCCTATATTATAAATATATTTATATAAGATCAGAGAATCATGCTCTCACAAGGTATCCAATCCTGGTTAAAAACACATTTGAAACCTTCCATGATATAGAGAGCTTCCTTTAAGTTCTCAGAAAGCTGGTTTTTAAATAGCTTTTAAACCAGATAGGCAATGTCAAAGGATTTAAGTGTTACGTGCAAACAGAATGCCTAAGTTTATCTTTTTTAATACAAATGAATATGTTAAGAAGATTAATTTGTTATATTGCTAGTGATTTTGTGCTTTGGCATATTCAAATTTCTAGCTGGTTAACACCTCAGAAAAATTTTAAGATGAAGGCCAAACTTCATGTAACATGACCTTAAAAGTAGGTTTAAAAAATTGATTTACTTAGTATTTTTTATTAAAACATGTATACTTGTTTCATGATTCCATTGCAGCTCCTCCAGAGCTGCGACTGCTATTAGCAGAATTACTTGCTTCAGAACTTGATGTGGTAACTGCTAGCCTCTGTCGAGTTCCAAAAACATCATTCACTGTAATGCCAAAGAGAGAAAGGTTACAAACTCTGACTTTAAAGAAGAAATTGACCTATTTCTTAGGATTACATAACTAGAAAATGAATGAGAACAGTCACCTGTGGAAATTGTGCTTATGTCCCAGAGTTGTAATCCCTGCCTCTCTCCTCCAAAGGCATAGACAAATGGCAGATCTGGACAGCAAGCTGCACAAAACAGGGCACCCTGTGGGCAGAAGACACATTCTCTTCTGATTTTCTGCTGACTCGATACATTAGCTCTCTCTCAACAAGACATTTCTAATTCAAATCAGTAAACTAAAATCAAAATTAGCAGAGGTTGTGCATATCCGACATCTTTAGACTTTATGTGTTAAGAAATACAGTTCATAAAATGCAGGCTATTTGTCTCATGTAAGTATTAATGTAATTAATATACTCACAACATAAATATACACAAGATTAATTTATTAAATTACAATACTATACAGACCAGGATCCTCACCAGTTTCATTCTGCATTCACTCCATAAAAATAAGGCTCTATAGGTATAGTTGCAGAAAAAAGACTGAAATTACCATTTTCATATCTCTGGAATAGACCAAAGAAGGCTTGTTTCCTAGGATGTCCCAAATTTTCACACATTTATCAGAAGACGTTGTGACAAGACATCCTTTGATTTGGCTACTTAACTGTAGTCCTGGAAAACATAAGCAGGTGCTTTTAGTATTTAAGCCAGGAAGAAAACAGAACACTCTTGCATATAGGCCTCATTCTTTTAGGTTAAGGAATCTATGATTTAAAGGCACCCTCACGTATATGGTGCAGCAATGCCAACTGAAATTATCTTCTTCCATTGCCATTATTAACAATTAAAACCATACAACACACACCCAACTAAGAATATGGAAGAACAATCAGTTGACATTACATAACCATCTTGCAGGCTCATTATGGGATCCCCAAGTCAATGGAAGGTATTAAGGACCTTCTGGAAAGTAGGGCAGGGATGGGGCCAACCTCATCTCAGAGAGAATGATGTTCCAGAAGGGAGGCCCCACAGTAGAAAAGACACACCATCTGGGTCTTGCCAGATGGAATTTCTTTGCTGATGACACTCAAAGCATATCCCTCCTGCTTGACATGGGTTTGGTAGCTATAATAAGGGAGAAGCGGTCCATCAAATAACTTGGTTCCATGCAATGTAGGGCTTTAAAGATGAAAAGCAATACCTAAAATTGTACCTAAAACAAACTGGCAATCGGTGCAATTTGCAGAATAAAGGTACAGTGTTCACCTTCCTGGAGGGGGGGGCATGTAACTGTCCGTGCAGCTGCACTCTGCAGCAGTTGAAGCTTCCAGATGATCTTCAAGGGTAGCATTGAGTTACTGTAATCCAGTTTGGAGATGAGCAGAGCATGAGTGACTAAGCAAAGGCAAAACTGGGGCACAATACAAAGCTGTGCAAAGGTCCTCCTATAATCTGCTTCTCAGGCAGGAGTTGTGGTTATAGGAGCTCCAGATTGAACACAGGGTCTCTGGAATATCACAGCCCCATCCAGAACCAAAGATGGTAAAGTTCCAAATCCAAGAGATCCCAAAATCTAAAGTTGCTCAATCTTCTTCAACTCTGAAGCCTATTGTTCCCTATCCAGACTTCAACAGCCTTGGACACTTGAACAAGGCATTAGAAGTACTGCTCAGTCCGCCAGGGATGGAGATAAATACCTGGATATCATCAGTACTGATGACAATTCATTCTATGACAATGAATGATCTCACCCAGTGATTTCATTTAGATATTAAACAGAAGTGAAGAGAGTACCAAATCCTGCTAAACCCCATATAACAGGGTTCAAAGGCAGAACCTCTTCACTTCCAATCAACACCAACCCAGAAGGATGGTACCAAAGGTTGATGTTATCAACGGTTGCCAAGAAGGAGAGCAAGGACAGATATACTTCTCTGTCCTGCTGTCACCTAGAGATAATTCAGAAGTGTGGCTAATGCCATCTCTAGCCAATGGCCAAAGTCTGAATACTGACTGAAAAGGATCAGATAATCAGCTTTATCCATGGCCCATAGAAGCTGCTGCACAACCACGTTCTCTACAACCTTCTCTAGAAAAGTGGAGTTAAGATACTGGATGAAAATAGTCCAGCATGGTGGCTCCAGCAATGGCTTCTTGAGGAGAGGTAAGACAATGCCTCCTTAAAGGGCAGCAGAACAACCTATCTCTCAAAGGATTTACTATCCCTATGATCCAAACAATGGATGTTCTTTATGCATTGTAGAATGGCAAATATAAATTTGCCTCAAAAATATAACTATATAAGATATCTGACTAGAATGGGATTTCCTTAGGATCCTGACTGGGAAAAGAAATGCTTACCAGACACTTCTTCCTCATGAGCTTTCATTGTGAAGACTGGTTTGTGGGAACGAGCATCAAGACAATATACAAATCCATCTTCTGTGCTAGCCTACAACAAATTATTTCCAAAGATTTTAAAAATAAAATCAATAGGCAGGCCACCTTTCTCAATCTGAATGATTTTTCGGAGGTACATGGACATGAAATCCCAGAACTGAACCATCCAGCCTGAAGGGCCATTGTAGAGAATTCTGGAAGCTGAAAGGACAGTGCCAAAGCTGGCAAAGACTGCACAGAGAACAAGCAGCTGGATGTTTGGTGGCCAACTCTAGCCATGCAGGTACCATTATTCCTGATTTGATAACAATCAACAGATCAGAATGATCTGTTATGTATGGCAGCATAACTTGCTATATATGAGTAGATTTTAGACTTCACTGTCAAAAACCTCTACATTACTTAATTCCATTACATCTCTTAATGAAATAAAGCACTATCAAATCCCAAGCAGCAAGACTTTCACTTACTAGGAAGTGCTTTAATAAAATATACATTGATTATTTTATATCTTAAAATATGCTGGCTGCTTTGAAAGTCTTGGATGATATATTAGGGCTATGCAACATTTCAGATTCTAAAGAAAAAAGATGCTGCCAAGGGACACCTGTTGCTAGGGTGTCTTACTGGAAAAATCTTTTAATCAACTTTTTCCAAGAATTGTCCTGCAGCTATAGCAACAGCAATAGCACTTAGACATATATATCACTTTACAGCCCTCTCCAAGTGGTTTACAGAGTCAACAAACTTCCCCCAACAATCTGGGTCCTCATTACCAACCTCAGAAGGATGGAAGGCTGAGTTAACCTTGAGCCTTTGAGGTGAAGATCAAACCCCTGGCAGCCTGCAATACTGCATTCTAACCACTGCGCCACCACAGCTCAACAGTCTAATTCTGGCGAGCCGGTAGGAGCGATGAGTAGCGGAGACCGAACCGGCGGCTTGGGCCCGGGTTCCAATACTCACTTGTATCTGCTGAATTTGATGTGCAGCTCCTTTGCGCGGCACAGAATAGTGCCGCATGGCAGCTGCTGAAGTGACTGGGATCGTGTAGGCTTGCAAGAGGTGAGTTAGAATGCCTCTGCGCCTGCGCAAAGTGTGCATTTGGCACGCGCGTGCATGCAAAGTATGTGCACGTGTGCAAAGCGTGCCCAAGCCATGCCCACCGAACCAGTGGCAACTATATTTGAATCCCATCACTGGAAAAGGTGCAAATGCAATGCACCTCACCCCTGATCCTGTGAGGCATTCTATCTTACTTATTTAATAGGTTTTAGGGCTGCCTAACTCAAACAATGTGACTCTGGATGGCATACAACGAATTGAACTAAAATGCTGCATAGCCTGCATACAATAGAATGGATAAGACAAAACACAAAGAACTATTGTACTTACTAAGAAGTGATGAGGTGAAAAATGATTCCAAGTCACTCTTTCAACTTGTCCACTAAATCTCCAGGTTCTATGATTGTCCTGTGGACTTCTACAGTCATATAAAATGGCTGATCTGAAAAGTATCAATAATTATTTATTCAAATTTGGCACCAGATTTTTTTAAACATTATTAACTAAAATGAATTTACCCATGAGACACAGAGAGGTCATTTTTTTTCTAACCTAATAAAATACTCCTACTCCAGCTGAGTCATTAGTAAAAGTCACAGCAATCGCACTGGCTATAAAAGTAATGAACAGCAAATGCAAGCCCATTAAGTGGAATTACTGGCTACAAATGGTTTTGTTTCTAATTAAGTATGCATAGAAGGCTAATGCAACCTGATGCTAAAATCAGGTTGACTGTCCCTGTTGAGAATACACAGAGAAGCACTTCCATAAATCATACCAAAACTATAGCATATGCTTTAAAGAAGACACCGTTAAAGTATCTGTGTCAAATATCTTATAAAGAAAATACAGATAATCCTTGCCTTACAATTGTAATGGAACCTACTTATTATGGTCATAAGTCCTAATAGCTGTAAAATGGGTCACCCATATAACCAACCCCATTTTATGATATGTTTTGTGGCGGTTAAACAAAAATAGAGATGGTAAACCAAATCCATTGTTTGATCTGGGACTTTTTTTTTGAAAATGAACCAAATACTAGGTGTTGTAAATTGTGGTCTTTTGACTACAAGACACTGCAAATGGCCATAATGCAGGTTGGGTGCTGTCACATGACCGGGGGGGGGGGGGGGGGGCTGGCCACCAAAGGTCATTAATTATCTTTTGGGAGGGATTGTCATAAAAGACTTTGAGGACTACTTGTATTACATTTTATTATTTATCTCTGCCATCATATGATTTATATATTACCTAATGTGATAGAAGCAATAGATTAGAACAAGCTTGTTCTTACTTGTCATAAGAGCCAGAAATGAGAGTCTGTGTTTCAAATGGGTGAAACTGCAGTGTTTGCACCTAAAAATAAATATATATTTGCATCAAAATGTAGTTTTACAATGTACATGATTTTAAATAATTCCTACTATAATTTTTTCACAAACAGAAAGGAGTGTTCAATGATCTATTTAATGATCTATTTAACTGCTAATTTAAGGCAGAGTAGCATACAACCATCAGCATGTACAATTAAAGTTAGCTAAACCTTCACTATGTAGAACAAAAAATCTGGAATTGTTAATTGGTTTGAACATTTATAATTAAATGTTATTTCTACAGAGCTCATTTCACCAGAATGCAAACATCTAAAGTAATAGCCATAGAAAACGAAGATCAAATATTACTTGAATAATTATGTTAACTAGGAGTTGATATTAATTTCTCCCACTGGGCTGTGACTGCATAACTTCTCACAAAATTAGCGAGAGTTAAATCTAAAATTTAAGAGTTTTTCTCTAAAGATTTACTTGTCTCATCAAACTAGGACTATAATATTGCTAAACTTGTACTTAATAGAGCCAATGAATGGTAAGTTGTAGAAACATTGGGGGGGGGGGGGTCACAAATGCAGTTTTTCATCCCTAAAGCTGCCTATCACAACTTTTTTAAAAGAATGGATAAAAAAATCCCATCCTTCTTAGTACTTGATCATTTGATATCTTAGAATTCAAAAACAATTTATATTGAGCTTTTGAACCTAGATTTATTTTGACTTTTTCATATTTTCTGTTTAGTTTTTAAAGCCAAAGTCCAACTCTATTTTAGTTATTTATATATTCATAAATATCATATTTAACTAGGCTCTGGGGTGGCTGCGTATTACAATGCTCAATCAATACAATGTCTGTATCGCTACAAACCCCTACAAGTCTACAGAGCTGTGGTTATCCCTTCACTCCTATATGGTCTACTAATGACACACCAAACAACATTTGAAATTTCACATACATCCTCTCTGTTCCATTCTTGACATTCATTGGCAAAACCATGTCTCCAGCTTCGAGGTTCACAAAGTCCACCAGCATTGAGTCTCTGATTATCAGATCCCAGATGTGCTGGTGAAATACATCATCAGAATGGACAAGCAACAATATGCTTCACCAGGTGCTCTCTGGTGTATTAAGAGACTGAGAAGTTGTTTACGCAAGCACTACAAAGTCACTGCAAAGGAAATCCTACACCACTATAATATCCAACCAAGAGAACTGGAAACTGGCTGTTGATAGAACCCTCTGGTGAGCCTGCTTTACAAAGTGTCCACCAGCTTTGAACATAGGCACAGCCAAAAACTGATAGAAAACTGTGAAGGGTGTTACATTGTTATTACAACAATGGACTTCTAGTGCCCCCATTGTGCTAGACTGACTATGTTTCCAGATTGGCATTGCACAGCTATCCTCATGCTCACAGATGAATTACACAACAGCATGGCAACAATTTGTCCTCAATCATTCTTTCTTTTTCCTAGATTATTAAAGAATAATGACCGTCTGAGGGGAATATAAAGGTTTCTTCAAAAATCACATACAGATTTAAAAAACTTAAAAAATGATTTTGCTTATATTGCTTACACATGGAATAGGAAGATGTTCCTGAAATTAACACTGAAGTACTAAAGCTCTTCCAGAGAAGGGGTAAGGAAAATGAGAAGCTAATTTTCTAGTGGCAAGTAGAATAGATACAAACTCTCTGAATGAAATTGGTTTTTTATATTTTACAAAAAAACAGTATTAGAGAAAAAAACAAAGTTGCATTTGTTGCAATACATGTATATGTGCCAGATTTCCTTGTTATTTTGTTGCAATAGATGGATTTGACTATGCTTTTAGAATCATCAACATACCTTGTCTGTGTGAAGGGAAAGTGTTGCTGCTGTTGAGCCCCTGGACATGTCCCAAAGAATTACAGAATGGTCAGCTGAGGCACTTGCCAAGACAGATCTAAAAGAAACAAGCATATTGATTTGCAAACAGCGTCAATGGCAGGTCTTAGATCAAGTCATGTTTTACCCTTCTTGTCCAAAGAATAGAGATTAATATCTCAAACAAAAGTGTTGCTAACACACACACACACACACACACACACATTATTGCTTGTAAATAAAATCTAGTGACTTTCAGAAATTTTTGTTTTCATTGAGTGACAATAAATTGCCCAATGAATTAAATGAATATAAGGTAAATAACCAGTTTCTGAAAACGTATTTGCTTTCTTTTGAATTTTCTGACATTTTTGCGTGTTCTTGCTATGGATTGTTATGGAACCTTCACAAGGTCCTATTAAATGAAAAGCTATCCCTAGGATTGGTTCCTGTTTCATTCATGTCACAGATGAAGTCACTCTGTGGGTTGTGCCAGTGTAATCCCACTGCCCCTTTAGATTCTGTAACTAGTTGCATCATCTTTAGCTGTAAGAACTACAGCCGTTTAAACACGTCCTGATCATCAGTACCTCAGATTGCTGTATAGGAATTTTTGCCCAATCCTTCAACATAACTTACCTGCTGGTTTCAACCCATGCCACATTTCTCTGGGATTTAGGTTTGGATTTAAGTTGCAACATTTATTCTTCTGAATAATATATTATTCAAAATTCATTATCTTGTATATTTGGATTATCTTTCAACATGACCTGCTTGATTTCAACTGATACACTGATGACATGATATTGTCTTGCAGAAGTTTCTCATCCAAAGTGAATTCTCACTTGCTTCAATAATGTAACAAGTTGCCTGTGGCTTGAAAAGTTTCATTTTTTATTCATCTGCCTGTAGAACATTGCTTAAGAAGCCTATAAAATCAGGTGGTTTTTTGGTAAACTTTAGGCAAGCATCAACTTCTTGTGAGCCATTGTTTCCACAGCTGTTTTTGTGAGCCAATGCTTTCACTTTGCTACACTTGGCTTCTATGAATCTGGATTTTCCCAAGGTGCTTTCCTGAAATCATTTCCTTCAACCAAGGCAAGAGAAGCCTATAGATCAGGGGTCCCCAACTCCTGGTCCGCAACTTGGTACCTCTTAGGAAAATTAACTGTTGCCTAAAATCTTTACTTCAAGATATGTCTCTGAGTGGCCCTTGAGGTTTACAGCCTTTTTTTTTTTTGGCCTGATAGATCTCAATTATTTTTCTGTAGAGGTCTTCAAAAATTTCTTTTGAGTTGAGGCACAACATGCTTCAAGATTCTGTGTGACACGAAATGTCACTGTGACAAGGAAATCCAAAGTTTGTGAGACTCGTAGAGAGCTGGGCTATCTCAAATCAGCCCCACTTAACTGCTTATATAACTGCCTGAAGATCATGCTTCACATTTGCACATCTCATGCTAGTTTATTCATGAAATAAATAAAACAAGCACCACACTTATTTCAAAACTGTATACTCGAATATTGTAGAATATATGTGTTTGCATTTTCACATGGAAGTCTTGGTAACATTCAGCAACAAAGATATATATGTAAGGCTTTAGAATATCCAAAAAGTAACAAGTACTTAGAACTGTATTTTTGAAATATGCAATTACTGCCTTTAAGCCAAGATTGAGAAACATATATTCTGCTAAGACCAATTTTGTGACTTCATGCGGTGATTAAGCCACACAAATTAATAAACCTGCATAAGTCAAAAGCATATTTCAAAAATATGTCTTCATAAAGATGAATAAGATGAAATAAAGACAAAATCGCATTATTTATGGTAATTGTCATACACATATCTATAATTATGACTTATTTCGATGTAGTGAAACTCAACTGTGCATTACTTTCCCTGTGAACTATAGAAATATGTTTTAAAGTCATTTCCATGAATTTATCTTTAAATATATATTTTTACCTGAGATGTTTATTCCATGAAAGATCAAGCACTGCATCAGTATGCCCCTGATGGTCTTCTTTGGATAAATTCTTTATGTAAAAAGATTAAGAACTTTTTAAGAGTTTCTAAATATAATAATAAAGCATGTTAATTCTATAACCCTTGCACAGGTTTCAAATGTGAAAGGCAATCCTTGCCCTTGCTCCTTTACTGTACTGTCTTAAATAGTTTTAAACATACAGGATCATTCTAGTCCAGGGGTGTCAAACTGGCAGCCCACAGGCAGGATGCATCATGTGCAAGCCACACCTACTCCAGCTCCATGAAGGGAAAAACATTGCAAAACATCATGTGATGACGACACTGCAAGTTTGACACCCATGTTCTAGTCCAATATTTTGCACAACAGCTGGCAGCAACTGTTCTGAGAATCTTTATTCACTTTTTTTAGCAATTAAAATATTTGTAAATATTAAATAGAAAATTAATTTAATAGTGCTCTATGTAAAAAAGGATAGCCAATCTTTCTGTCTCCAAAAGCCACATTGTAACTATCAAGATCAGCCTTGGACCATGCAGATACATGGACAGAAAAGCCTTTCCATGCACACTTATAGTTTTCTGGAGATTTTTATCAGACAATGACTGTACTAAGAAAAGACAACAGGCTAGGATGAATCTTCTCACAAACTACTATCTCCAGCAAGTCTGACAACTTGGTGACCAGCAGCAGGCAACATATAAAGTTTCCAAGAGTAACAAGTAGAGCTCATGTATATATGATAGAGACTAAACAGGTAAACAATTTTCTGTGATTCTTATTGAGAAAGTTTAAACTTTATTAATATGAGGTTTGCTCACACTTACCTTCTTTAATTTCTTTTTCTTTGCTTTTGCCTTATGTCCTAGTGAAAAGACTGGCTCTAAAGAATCCACTATGTCAAGATCCCATATTTCGATAACAGGATTCATTGTGCCAACAGCAATATAATTTCCTAAAGAAATATCCAAGTTAATCATGTATAGTCTCATACATCCTATATATATTAAAAACTGCTTGCCATTATCTAACATAGTGTGTAGTAGCTCCAAAGTAGGCAAGGGGGCCTTGGATCGGGCATGGGCACCCTTATTATACCTGCTATTCTTAGAAGCAGATGTTACTGCTTCACTACTGTCATAACCATGAATGGTCACTAAATGAGGCAGTTACTCAACAAGGACTACATGCATTGAGTTGAGGCAGCTCAAACACGTATTTTCTTAGGCCCATGGTATTATCCTGCAGCCTCAGGAACAAATTGTTTATACCAGATCCAAAGCACTGCATACCTCTTCTAATGTGAATGTCTACTAGTAAATTTACATTATATCATTTCACAACTCTGTAAAGAATAAAGTTTATTTTGTTTCTTTAATCTTTTTTGAGTTAGTAGAAAAGGTCTCTCTGTTTATTGCAAGGAATAAGGTTGAGCACATAGAAGCACAGGAATCTTGAAAGAGAGCCCATTCAGCTCCATTCAATACTGGATAAAATACCTATTTGATTAAGCTTCACTTTGGTCATCCTCATCAATTTAATTATAAAAAATCTGTCACAGTTTTCCAACTTTATCAGTTTTCCTTGGATTTAGATGGAAAGGAGATGATGTGTGACACTGACGCTACACATAATTTCTCCCACTAGTTTTACAATGTTACATAATATGGAACACAATGATAGCCTGAGAGACTTTACTTCCTCAGGAAAGACAAAAAACATCAGAAAACAGTGCCCTGAAACCTATTTAGCCAGTTATTCCAATAGCTTATCACAGCCATTGGAAAAACAATGTGATCATTATCATTAATGCTGGATAATCAGATTCTGTAATATTTAATCTCTTTCCCACAATCCTACGGGGCAATGCCTGGGATATCTACTTCTAAATTACACACTTTTAGAAGAGAAATAATCCAGAACGAAAACAGGAAAGGAAAGAGAATGACTACTGAGGTAAAAATATAAAAACCCAGCGAAAAAAAAAGAAAAAGGAGAAGAAAAATGTGGTAGAAAAGAAAGAAAAAAAAACATTTAAAAAATTTGTCAACATTTGTTCCCATCTCTCTCTCTCTCTGCACTTTCATACAGATGTCCCCTGCTAATCTGGGTATTATTAGCAATAAAATAGTACACTAATTTACCTGCAGAACTATTGGGACTAGGATCAAAGTTCATCCATTCCACACTTAAGGGGTATGCAGATAAAATAAGATCATGATGGACATAGAAGGAATCTTCTTCATGATTATACACTGAAAGAATTAAGTAACTTTAAGTAAATTAAAAAAAATCATACCCTTATTACAAAAACATATAGAACATATTTATATGCTTGTTGTTGAGAGAATAATAAGATTAATATCATCACTATATCACAAATCAAAAATGAAATATGGGGAGATATTTTTGAGTTCCTTTACAGAGACTGTATTCTTAGTCACAAAAAGATCGTCAAACATATATTGTAATCTTTCCTCTCTCCTACAGTTTACTGAGTTCTGGACAAGCAGAACTCAAAAGAAGGAATGCACATTGGTTGAGGAAGTCCCTCACAGGTTGACAATATCAACACTAATCATATTTGATTTACTTATTTACACCTCTGCATTTATTAGTCTTATGCTACACAAGAGAAGTTCCAATTAGCAGTACAAGAAACAGCAGAGCTCAATGCCAGTAATAAACATGTTAAGACTCCAAGAAACTGGAGGTCAAAGCAAACACAATTGAACCAAATGGATAAGTAGCCTGATCTAATATAAGCAATATTTCAATGTTATGTTTCAATATGGAGGATATATAAATTATTCCAAAATATTGACAAGAAACTGTGAGGAAGTGCAAGGCTATAAAAGTGAGTTTTATTTTCCCACCAAATGCATTAAGAAAATATGGGGAAGTGATTTACAAGAAATGGCATGATTCTATGAAACAAATGACAAAAATGCATAGTTTTACAAAATATTAACTGATCAATCTGTAATAATAAAAAATATAACAAAGCATTCATGTTCTTATTTTTAGGAAAGGCTATGAATCACGATCAGGAAAAAAAGAATCTGACAGTAACACATAATACATCAAGCTCAAAATGTAGCACCTCAAAACAAATATTAAATACTTGAAATTGTGCTTTTACAGCAATTCATATCCTGTATAAAAAGCCCTTTTGGAAAGAGGGAGAATTCAAGCATAGAGTTGACCATTATGAATAAAGGTAATACAGGAAATCAACTTAATGAATAAACCATCCATATCTTCCACAGTTCTTTTTTAAAAGCTGCAAGGGTTTTAATACCTACCATGAACTTCTAGGCTACAGTGGTCCTTATCAACTCTGCCACATACAACAAGACTGTCATTTGACTTAATCACAAAGTCTTCTTTCTCATATTGATCCTGAAAGAATACAAGTTTGAATATGATTTTTAGTCCAATTTTCAAATCTTTATTTTATCACTGCACTTAACAGATATCATGAAACTATTTTAGGTGCATACAAATATTTGGGAATGCTTACTTTTAAAAACTAACTGAAATCAGTCATATTTTAAAAGACAATTTGTCTTGTTACCTAGTAAGTGACATTTTAAAAAACTTCTTAATGTTTTAAAAAAGAAAAACCATTTGTGCACTTCTTCCAGTCCCAGACTAAGCTTTCACAAATTTGAAAATAAAAGGTATTCAAAAACAGTACATGTGAGTAACTGAATGTGTGAGGATACAATTAAAATAATTATAATGAAAAGACATTTGGAAAAAGTACAAAATTATGACTTGATGCATTCTCGTGCTTAAAAGAGAATCTTCAATGTTAAGATAGCTGAAATTAACATATAGTAGCAAAGTATGTAGCAAAGTATATCAAGTATGTTGTTGAAACAGAAGCCCACAAATACTACAATATAAAGACAGATGTTAATCAAATCATTTTTTTTCAAATTGATTAATCTGAAAAAATTCTTCAAATAACACTTATCACTTATGCCTACCACCCCAAACCAATACAGAATGTTATCTTTAGCCAGTATCAAAATTATGTATTTAAACAATCTCCAGTGTTAAGAAACAAAGCAATCATGCTTTAATACTCACAGTATCTTTAATAGTGATATATGGATCATTTTCATTAGTTCCATATACTGCAAGCCCTGCAAAGATTTCTCCAATGCCCTCAGTACCTATCATGACAGATTGTTCTTGATCAGACATAATTGTGAAAGTAGCATCTTTTGTAAAGAGACCCAATTGCACATCCTTGAATAGAGAAGCTGTTTTTGTACAGCAGGAAGGAGAGATAAATACCTGCATTTTCTTCATCATAGTTATCCAAGTCATATTCTGCCAATTCATCATCATCTAGCTTATCAGTGTCCTCATCTTTGGGAGCAGAGCTGGCTACCTCACCATCAGCAACATCCATGTCACCTGAGGTTTCTTCTTGTCCACCTCCATCATCACCATCATCCTCATCCTCTACCCTTCATGTAAAAAAGAAGTTAACAATGTTTTCAGTAATTATGCATATCTTAACACTAAAATGCCACTATCTAATCTTTAGACACTTGTACAATTCCAAATGGTTTTTTTGCCAATGACTTTGCAGGTTCCATCTATCTCACTGTATAGCAGCCCAGGTAAATATGAAGAGGAGTTGTAAATCTGACATTGTTATGTACTTGGGACATAAATTTAGAGCAATGACACGGTTGCAATCCCATAAAGACTTAACAATCAACAACCTATCTCTTTTAACTGGAAAATGCTTATTTGTGTGAAAAACAAATCACATTCTATAGCAGTCTCTTCCTCACAAAAAACCATAGTTTTAATGTTAGTACACTTCATTAGACATCAGCAGTTTTAATCAAATGTAATGACTTTATTTTTTTCTATTCCAAAATTCTACTATGGTGTTCCAGTTTTAATTCTATTTTTTCCAAAACCTGATCTGTTTACTTTTGGCAGTTTATCTTAATAGAATGTATTTAATCACAAATATTTTTCCATTACTACTTCTATGGTAAAAATTTCTTACATCATTTTCATATATCACTAACACAATTCCCACCTACTAGACTTATGCTGTAGATCACTCAGTCCAGTTTATATATTTCCATTGGACAAATGAAATTAGACACAAACTAGATTTTCACTTGACTAATTATTTTTAAATTGAAGAATTAGAGGTGTTTTGCTGTAAATTGACTTCACTGAACATCAGCTTTCTCAAACTCTTGTTCAAATGCAATCCAAACATACTGCAATCTCTCTTTAGCTTCAGTAATTAAACGCTTCAGTTCTTCCTTGTCAAGTTGTACCTGCAAGATAAACATGGAAAATAAAACCTCCTATACTTAAATCATGCCTGACTAACTTGAAAAACCAAGTCATTTTTAAACAAGTTTCATCCAACATATTTTAATTAGGATTATCATATGTAAATTGTAAAATGAAATAAGAGTAGAGCTAGAGTTCTTTTTATATCGCTTTACTATTGTGTCCTGGTTGCCCACATTCTTGGTCCTTAGGTATGGCAGCTCTATTCCAATCAACAGTCCATTTTTGACAGCTTGATTTTTTTAAAAAATCCAGTCTGAGAAAATAAGTTGTAAAACTCTCTAGAAAGTCAACTATTAAATACAAAAATTGTTCCCAGGAAATGTAAATTAAGACACTTAGCTGCAAGAGGGACTATAGAAACAAACTGAAATTGAATAGTTTCCTAGGAAACATCCTGTGATGTTTCCTAGTACACTATAAATCAAGGTAAGGCTATTCAGAAATGACAAACTAAACAATTCTACATGAAGGGCAAGAAAAATGCAGAGAATTACATATAAGTATTATACTGAAACATAGAGAATTATGGATACTATATAATACAAACAAGAACCATGGAAAAAATAGTGGTGCGCCATGAAAACTCAAATCCAAAGTCATTACTGTTCTATTCCAGAAACTGACACTTTTCTCTGATTTTCAAAGGAAAACATGCAACCCATTTTCTTAATTTAAATCAGCCTTAATTTTTAAAAATATATAACGAAATACACCTTCTTGAACTTGGTTGGCCTCATTTCAGAGATGAGACAAGATTTTAGTTTACTTTATTGTCATTGCACCTCGTACAACGAAATCAAACACCACCAAGATGGACATTTATACAATCGCCTCCCCCTTTTTTTTCCGCTTTCCACATCGCCGTCCTTGCTTTGCGTTTGCTTAGCGACTAATTTAGCGTGAAGCTTCCAACGGCTTTGCTGCCCGAAATGTCTGTAGGGGCTCAGAAATGAGGTTGGGTGGGGGCTCTCTGCTCGCGGCTGGAAAGAAAAGGGACGCGTCTCTCACCTTGTCTGGCGTCTCCTTGGCAACACCTTGGGGCACCCAGGCAACACAAGTTACGGGACGACTCATGGCTCCAACCAGGACACGAAAGCAGGAACGGAGCAGCTGAAGAAAGAGTCCTCGTACGCCGACACGTGCGTTGCCGACTTCCTGTTCCGCCCACAGAGTCTCCCTGGTGACGTCTTCATGAAGCCCCAAACACCCGCCCTGTTGCTGGTCAAGAGCTTTACAAAATGCTATAGGCCTGGGGGAGTGAGGTCATCAAGGAGCGACACGTGATTCTCCGCCCCTTCGCTATCGAGAAAGAGATCGTGGCAATGCCCCACCCACTCCGCAACGTCACAGGTAGACATTTGAGCGGCGGGAGGGAAACCCTTTCAAGTCCAACCTGGACGACAAACGGTTAAGAAGCGACTCACCTGCTCTTTTGTGTATTGTGCACGTTTCGACTTCTTACCAGATTGAATGTTACTCCCCTTCTTACACCTCCACCCAGCCCCAAAGGGAAGGAATTAAATAAAACTCGTGGGAAATCTCATGCCTAAATTACCACTATATTTGGAACGGATTTCCATTTTGCTTTCTGACCGATATAAAACTAGGAAGACTTGTTTTTAGGCTTACTGTACTTATTTTCTTATTTATCTTTATGCACTATTACTCTTAATCTTCTCATCACTCCTTATCCCCATCCTCTCCCACTTGTGACTGTATGACTGTAACTTTGTTGCTTGTATCCTTATGATTTATATTGACTGTTTCCTAGTATGATTGGATTGCTTATTGTACCCTATGACTATCATTAAGTGTTGTATGTTATGATTCTTGACAAATGTATCTTTTCTTTTATGTACACCAAGCATGTGCACCAAGACAAATCCCTTGTGTGTCCAATCACACTTGGCCAATAAAAGAATTCTATTTTCTTATTTAAAGCATTTATATGGCTGCCCAACTCGAATATGACCTGACAGGTGGAAACATAACAGAAAATACTGTATAATGCTGCCAATTAAAAACAGTTGCAAGAAGCTGATTAGAGACTTGAGTACTTGACGATCTTTGGATATTTTTAATTTAATTTGAAGTTGCAGTTGAATTGATTCTTGATTACAGGTAGTCCTTGACTTACAACAGTTGATTTAGTAACTTTGAAGTTACAACAGCACTGAAAAAGTGACCTAAGACTATTTTTCACACATATGACCATTGCAGAATCCTCATGGTCATGTGAATTATATCTGGATGTTTTGACAATTGACAAGGGTTGGTTGCAGTATCATGGGGTCATATCATCACCATTTGCAACCTTCTGACAAGCAAAATCAATGGAGAAACTAGATTCACTTAACCGTGTTACTAATTTAACAGAAGTGATTCAGTTAACAAATGTAACAAGAAAAGTTGTAAAATGGGGCAAACTCACAAATTTCTCACAACAACATAAATTTTGGGCTCAATTGCTGTCGTAAGTTGAGGACTACTTATATTTATACATGTACAGTATTATAGTTTTCTTGGCATGTTTCATAAGAAAGTTTTGTACCCACTTTTTAGCTAAGCTGTTTGTTTCTAATAAAGGCACTGCACGATCCTGAATGCTGAAATCTGATCTGACTTCCCTGGAGACTATAAATGTCATGCAACTACTGTATCTAATTCAGAAACCGAAAAGATACAATATAGTTTATATGCAGACTATTGTTATGGCAATCACAGCAAAGGGTCTAATTTTGCTGAATGGTAGTCATGTAAGTCTGTTGCAGCAAAGATGATAGACAACTTATGGTTCGTTAGAAATTGTGGTGAATAAGATTTCAACTTACCACAGCACATCTCACACTAATATATATTGTGGTGCAAACAAATGTATAAAGTGGTTTCTTGCTTAAACTGGAATTTAGCTTACTGTACTCTGCAAACTCAGCCAATTATGACACCACAAATCAAGGCTTTAAAAACGGCCGTATCTGTTTTCCTGCTTCTCTTTCTTTCTTTTTCTTTATTCCTTGTGTTTTCCCATTGTTCATGTCTCTTTTTGTGACTTCCCTTACAAGAGTTCTGAATTATCAGAATGTGTTCCAATTTCTTTCACTCATTGGGTTAGCCTGTGTTTTGTTAAATTATAATTTGACCATGATATCTGGATTGACATGGCACACAAACCAATGTAAACTTATAGATCCAATGAAAAGAGCAACAGCACTTAGACTTATATACCGCTTTACAGTGCTTAACAGCCCTCTCTAAGCAGTTTACAGAGTCAGCCTATTGCCCCCAACAATTTAGGTCCTCATTTTACCGACCTCGGAAGGATGGAAGGCTGAGTTAATCTTGAGCCTGGTGAGATTTGAACTACCAAATTGCAGGCAATCAGCAGAAGCAGCGTGTAGTACTGCACTCTAATCACTGCCAGGAAAAGACTTTCTCTCTTTTGTGAAACTACAAAATTAATAGCTAATGTTGAATATAGGGTTTTGCTGTCTAAACACACAAGACAAGTTTATCCATAAAAACATATTTTAATTCCAACAATTAATTAAAGATCATATACCATTGTTGCTCACAACAGTAATATACAATTCGCACAAAACATGGCTGATCTGACAATGTTTTGCAGGCTGACTGTGTGTGTGTGTGTGTGTGTGTGTGTGTGTGTGTGTGTGTGTGTGTATAGACAGATATATGATTAGAGATAGATATCTTTCTTAAGGAATTTAATATACCAGAAGTCATGCAAATAATTTTAGAACAGTAAACACAATAGGAGCAATCACTTGTTGACACTACCAAAATCATTCAAATACAGAAACATTAGTCAATTGATAAATATGTACATACACTGTATTTTTGTTATTCTTTTTGTGGTCCCTTCTGAAATATATTAAAGCATTCTCCCATCTTACCAGGTCCTTATTAAAGACAAATCCAAAAATAGGATTTAAGAGTATTTTCTACCAATACTGACCACCAGTATAAATTCTTGAGATATCTATCTTAGATCCCTATATATTTGAGGCACTTGACCATTGGTTGAGGGTTGGGACAGGAAAAGCCAACACAAGTATTATCTCCAAACCAATATTAATTCTGATCCAGAATTCTGGATCATTTGAAGTCAGAGGTTGTCTTCGCCACATAAAATCTTCCCGTTTTACCCGATTGCATTCATATTTTAAACCACCATAAATATTATGAGTTTTAATCTGTGTTGTAGGAAATGCTAACATTGCAGGGGGAGCACAAGATACATTCTAGGGAGGCACACTCAGTTCCTGTGCAGTTTTTCACCTCTATATAAGCACCAGGCTGCTCTGTAGCTTTTGAGTTCTATAATTTGCAGAGGATAAGACTTCAAAGTAAACCATCAGGTCCTGTGCAATAAAGAAACTGATTAGAAAAGGCTCTCATCACTACAAAAGTTGAAAGCCACCTAGAAGCATTACCTCAAGGATCTGGATCTCCTTCAGTAGTGCACAGCACCACTAATAATCAGTTCAGCAGGATAGAAGATGCATATTAATATAAGCAAGTATTTTTTTTAAAAAAATCAAGATGCAATGTATTTTACTTCTTTTATGACCCTGGTGTGTTCCAAACATTTTTTTTTTGTTCTTTGCTATATTTTATTGCAAAATCAGTATTTGTAATATCCACACAACAATTAAGTCATCATGCTGAAACTTGAAGCCGACAAAAATTAACACTTTTGAGTATAGCTATAAAAGCTTAACTCCTTTGTGCCACAAGACCATTGACATAAAACAAACTGCCAGCTACTATCAATGCAATCCTTGGCAACAAACCCTATAGTTACAACTAATACTATTTTTTTACATGGGTGATTGCATTGACAGAACAACAGGTATCACTAAAACCACTCATTTGATTTGCTGATGTAGGTTAACTAAAATGAAAGGAAACAAAAGTATTTGTTGTAGAAGCAAATGGATTTTCATGCTACTCTGTTACAAATAAGGTTTGAAAGAAACAGGTTTATATAATTCTTACATATCAATTTAAATTTCAGTCAAGAGGTGGATCACATTCTATTATATGCCTTGTCACTTTACAATACAATTTAGAATTGTTTTTTCTCTTTCATTTTTCATTTTCATTCACAAGTTGCATGTACTTGTTAGTTGGTCTGAATTCATTAAAAATAATTCTGAAAAAAAAAATTCCAACATACTCTGAACCAAGTACCATAATATATTTCCTTTAAAATCCATTGTTTTAAAATTCTTCCCCTCCTTCAACATCTCTCTAATCTTCCACAATTGCCATTGCTCCACTGTTTCCATAACTTTTAATAAGTGGGATGTTAAATTCTCTAAGTCAGTATTTCTCAGCTTCAACAACTTTAAGATTTGTAGACTTCAATTTTCCAATTCTGATTGGGGAATTCTGGGCATTAAAAACTGGACATCTTAAAGTTGCCAAAGTTTAGAAATGTTGCTGTAAGCCTGTGGTGGTGAACTTTTTTGGCACCGAATGCCAAAATGGGAGCGTGTGAGCGCCCCAGAAATCAGAAGAGCAGCTCACCAGTGTGCGTGTATGAGTGCCAGAAACTGGAAGCTCAGTTTCCCAGTGTGCGCATGCACACCAGCCATCTGGTCTTCTGGTTTCTAATGCACATGCATGCAAGACCAGTTGGCCGTGCGTGCATGCATGCCAGAGGGGTGCACTTCTGGCTTCCAGTGCTCTTGAATACACTAAGATCAGTTGGCCAGCGTGTGAATACGTGCCGGGGAGCTACCTCTGCATGCCACTTCTGGCATGCATGCCATAGGTTCACTATCACAGCAAGCTGTTAAACGTGTCTGCACTTTTACCCATCACCAACAAGCAATGAATAGGTGAACTCTCTTAAAAGTTCTAGTAGCTTAAAACACAGCTTCAGAATTAAGAAATGGAGGTCTATTCAATCTGTAACATTTAGTCAGCGTCAAGCCTCATCACTAACACTATGGATATTTTGGAATAAGTCTATTTATAGACAGAAAATGAATACAAATTCAGAGCTTTGTATCACCATGATTTGCTGGACTAATTTGGCAACTCAAGTTTTAACCTCTGCTCATGTTTTTCCTCCAGACCATGATTAACACAACCTTATCTTGCTATTTCCATACCGCAGTATCTAATAGAACAAAA